GGAGAGGTCTGTATGTAAACAATACAGATCTCTCCCGTCAGCTCCAGCATGCTGCTTTGTATTGCTCTGCATAATAAATGGATGTCGCACCTGAAGTCACACCAATGTGAACCAGGGCTAAAAAAGAAATGAAAGGCAAAACATTTTTGTATGCATATAAAAAAAAATTATAAATACCTTATTTCCCTTTTTATATAAGTGACCACATACGCTCTGTTTTCAGTTGCATAAGGAGCTTAGAGAGCTAGGAGATGAGAAAAAGCAGTACACTGGTCTCTCCAGTAAATGGCTGTGGGGGGGGGGGGGGGGGGGCATGTAAGCACAGATCTGAGCATTGGAAAAGAGCAGGCTGAGTTCCCAGCACAGCTAGAGAACTGACCATGTTGTACTCTCATGCCTAGTGTGGTCGGTTTTTAATAGGAAAGCAGAGGGACTGGAAGGAACACCAGCGATTTCACACAAAGGAAGCAATACAAAGAGAACAGGATATGTTTTCATACAAGAACATGGTACAGCAGGCACATATCAGGAATATGAAACGTTGGGTTTACATATTCCTTCAAGGAAAATGTTTTTGTCTGGAGTTCAGCTTTGATTTCAAATGTATGCCATTTATATATGCCTTTAGCTTTACCAAACATACTTGGAGGATAAACCTGAGCAATCCATTCAATTAGTATCAAATTAGGCAGGCCTTTGTACTACATAGTTGAGCTAATTGGGATTGTACAATGAAATTGTAAAGTATATGGTCACCTTTTATCTTGTCTGATTTTATCTGCATGAAAGAAAAATAGTATGTGCCATCCTGTCCTACAACTAAATGATGGCTGAACATTGATTGGTTGTTATATGCTGCTCCAGCAGTATTCCATTGTCCATGTTTTGCATTTTTAGCATGGGAGCGAAGGGGATTGATTATTATTATTATTATTATTATTACATCGAGTTTATATAGCGCCAAAGGGTTTGCTCAGCGCTGTACAATAGGGGGGACAGAACATGGCACAGTACAGCAAAAACAGACAGGGTACAAGGGGTAAGAGGGCCCTACTCTTTCAAGCTTACAATCTAGGAGGGAGGGGGTAGTGGAACAATAGGAAGTGGCTGAGGGGAATGAAGTGGCTGAGGGGGGTGAAGTGGTGGGAGGAATGAGGGAGAATGGCCGTTAGGTGAGGGTGGGGTAGGCTTCCCTGAAGAGATGGGTTTTGAGGGAGCGCCTGAATGGGGGAGGGAAGGCGACAGTCGGATGGATTGGGGCAGTGAGTTCCAGAGGATAGGGGAGGACCTGGAGAAGTCCTGCAGTCGTGCATGGGAGGAGGAGACCAGGGAGCAGGATAGAAGGAGGTCCTGTGAGGAGCGAAGGGTACGGGTAGGGTGGTACTTGGGGATCAGGTTGGTGAGGTAGTCAGGGGCAGTGTTATGAACGGCTTTGTAGGTCAGGATTAGAAGTTTAAATTTGATGCGTTGGGCAATCGGGAGCCAGTGGAGGGAGAGGCAGAGGGGGGTGGCAGAGGTGGAGCGGGTGGTGAGGTGGATGAGTCTGGCCACTGAGTTCAGGATGGTCTGGGGCGGGGAGAGCCTGCACTTGGGTAGGCCAGTGAGAAGAGAGTTGCAATAGTCAAGGCGTGAGATGATGAGGGAGTGTACAAGAAGTTTGATGGTGTCTGGGGTGAGGAAGGAGCGTATCTTGGCGATATTGCGGAGATGGAGCCTGCAGGTGTTTGTAAGTGATTTGACATGAGGCAGGAAGGAGAGGTTCGAGTCAAGAATGACGCCAAGGACTTTGGCTTGCGGGGCGGGAATGATAGTGGTGTTGGTGGTGGTGATGGATAGGATGGGGGGGGGGGGGTGTGGGCAGGGGGAAAAGACGAGGAGTTCGGTTTTGGAGAGGTTAAGCTTGAGGAAATGGAGCGACATCCAGTCTGAGATGTCGTTTAGGAGGTGAGTGATGCGGGCGGAGATAGTAGTGGGGGTGAGGAGAGGGGTGGAGAGGTAAATTTGGGTGTCGTCAGCATAGAGGTGATAATTGAAGCCATGGGAATGTATGAGTGTGCCCAGGGAGGAGGTGTAGATGGAGAAGAGAAGGGGTCCAAGGACAGAGCCTTGAGGGACCCCAACAGAGAGGGGGAGGGAGGGGGAGGTGGCGCCATTGTAGGAGCGTCGGGATAGGTAGGATGAGAACCAGTAGAGAGCGGTATCCTCTCTATATTGATGGCGATATATATATATATTGATGGCGATATATTGATATGATCCCTGATCTTCTTATCTGTCACTTTATTTTGCAGTTCTCCTCTGTGTGTTGGTAGATGTGTCCAGTGGAATGATGAGTATTGAGGTGATCCCTTGGTATCCGGCCATCAAGAGATCTGTCACTCTGAGTGTTACTGGGATTACAGGGACAATTCGGTCTTTTATTTGGTATAAAGGACCGAACATACACGATTATCAAATCTTTGTATATATCCCTGGTGATAATCCAATAATTCCTGGGCCTCTGTTCCATAGTAGGGTGACAGCTTTCCCCAATGGATCTCTACAGATCTCCAACCTAAATGTCATCGATGAGGGAGATTACAGAGCGAAGATACAAACCGATAAACAAAGCGATGTAACGGTATACATGAAAGTCTATGGTGAGTAATCCATCAGAAGATTGTCAGATGGATTTAACTCGTCTTCTCATTTAATTGTATCGGGATCTTCGGTGTACAGCCAATCATTGACTGCCGGTGCTAAAGCCAGTTCAATCCCAAGTGATTTTTTTTTTAAAGGGCCAGTGCATGTGTTACTCAGCATTAAAGGGTGAAAACAGTGAACAATAAAATAAAAAAGACACGGGTTCTATCGCCCCCCTATTTAACCTAAAGTGGTACCACTTTAGCTCCAGCAATGTAGATGTATGTCATTGGAGTTTGAGCCGTTATACCACGATGATACCTGCAGCCACAGGCATAATCACGGTACTATTTCCTAGAGCCAGCGGTCTCCTCTCTTGTAATAGCAATCAGAGTGGCTAACTAGCCGCTCGATCGCCATTACAAGCAGCTGGAGGGGATGTTACCCCTGCCCCCTTCCCCCCCGGCGCCTTCCAAGACCAAAGCTATCAGCCAGATGCCCAGACAAAAAAAATCAACTTTGATCAGGGTCTCCACTATAGTATCCTAGCAGCAATGACCTGACATCATTTCCAGTTTACCTGGATGTCAACTGTGCCATTTAAAAAAAAAAAAGCATTCAAAAACATCGATCTTGGTGTTTTGAATGTTTTTAAGTCCTCATGCACACTGGACGTTTTTCACACAGTGAGATATCAACACAAATGTCAGAGCAACAGAAAAAATTCTAGCACCAGACCTCCTGTGTAACTCTAAATCAGTAACCTGTAAAATCTTTTAAAGTGTCACCTAAGGAGTAAAGTACTGTAGTTTGGCGCCATTCCACGAGCGTGCGCAATCTTAAAGCATGACATGTTACAAATTATTTAACCCGGCCTAACATCATCTTTTATATTTTACCAAACAATTGGGTATTATATTGTGTTTTTTGAGCATTAAAATTACATGAAGTGTATTTTAAAAAAAAATGCATTTGAAAATCGCTGCGCAAATACAGTGTGACATAAAATAACCACCATTTTATTCTCTAGGGTCTCTGCTGAAAAATATATGTAATGTCTGATGTTTCTAGGTACGATAATTTTCTAACAAAAATACAAAACAAATTTTTACAGGTAAACAAAAAGTTTCAAAATAGGCCTGGTCTTAGAGTTAAAGTGTTACTAAATCCCAGGCCCTGCATTCACTATATATGGTCTCCCTGGACCCTGCATTCACTATATCTGGTCTCCCCGGACCCTGCATTCACTATATCTGGTCTCCCCGGACCCTGCATTCACTATATCTGGTCTCCCCGGACCCTGCATTCACTATATCTAGTCTCCCGAACCCTGCATTCACTATATCTGGTCTCCCCGGACCCTGCATTCACTATATCTGGTCTCCCTGGACCCTGCATTCACTATATCTGGTCTCCCCGAACCCTGCCTTCACTATATCTGGTCTCCCCGGACCCTGCATTCACTATATCTGGTCTCCCCGAACCCTGCATTCACTATATCTGGTCTCCCGAACCCTGCCTTCACTATATCTGGTCTCCCCGGACCCTGCCTTCACTATATCTGGTCTCCCCAAACCCTGCATTCACTATATCTGGTCTCCCCGAACCCTGCATTCACTATATGTGGTCTCCAAGGGCCCTGCATTCACTATATCTGGTCTCCCCGGACCCTGCCTTCACTATATCTGGTCTCCCCGGACCCTGCCTTCACTATATCTGGTCTCCCCGGGCCCTGCCTCCACTATATCTGGTCTCCCCGGGCCCTGCCTCCACTATATCTGGTCTCCCCGGACCCTGCATTCACTATATCTGGTCTCCCCGGACCCTGCATTCACTATATCTGGTCTCCCCGGACCCTGCATTCACTATATGTGGTCTCCCCAAGGGCCCTGCATTCACTATATCTGGTCTCCCCGGACCCTGCTTCACTATATCTGGTCTCCCCGGGCCCTGCCTCACTATATCTGGTCTCCCCGGGCCCTGCATTCACTATATCTGGTCTCCCCGGACCCTGCATTCACTATATCTGGTCTCCCCGGACCCTGCATTCACTATATCTGGTCTCCCCCCGAACCCTGCATTCACTATATCTGGTCTCCCCGGACCCTGCATTCACTATATCTGGTCTCCCCGGACCCTGCATTCACTATATATGGTCTCCCCGGACCCTGCATTCACTATATCTGGTCTCCCCGGACCCTGCATTCACTATATCTGGTCTCCCCGGACCCTGCATTCACTATATCTGGTCTCCCCGGACCCTGCATTCACTATATCTGGTCTCCCCGGACCCTGCATTCACTATATCTGGTCTCCCCGACCCTGCATTCACTATATCTGGTCTCCCTGGGACCCTGCCTTCACTATATCTGGTCTCCCCGGACCCTGCATTCACTATATATGGTCTCCCCGGACCCTGCATTCACTATATCTGGTCTCCCCCGGACCCTGCATTCACTATATCTGGTCTCCCCGGACCCTGCATTCACTATATCTGGTCTCCCCGGACCCTGCATTCACTATATCTGGTCTCCCCGGACCCTGCATTCACTATATCTGGTCTCCCTGGACCCTGCCTTCACTATATCTGGTCTCCCCGGACCCTGCTTTAACTATATCTGGTCTCCCCGGACCCTGCATTCACTATATCTGGTCTCAAAGGGCCCTGCATTCACTATATCTGGTCTCCCCGGACCCTGCATTCACTATATCTGGTCTCCCAAAGGGCCCTGCATTCACTATATCTGGTCTCCCCGGACCCTGCCTTCACTATATCTGGTCTCCCCGGGCCCTGCCTTCACTATATCTGGTCTCCCCGGACCCTGCATTCACTATATCTGGTCTCCCCGGACCCTGCATTCACTATATCTGGTCTCCCCGGACCCTGCCTTCACTATATCTGGTCTCCCCGGACCCTGCATTCACTATATCTGGTCTCCCCGAACCCTGCATTCACTATATCTGGTCTCCCCGGGCCCTGCATTCACTATATCTGGTCTCCCCGGACCCTGCCTTCACTATATCTGGTCTCCCCGGACCCTGCATTCACTATATTTGGTCTCCCTGGACCCTGCATTCACTATATCTGGTCTCCCCGGACCCTGCCTTCACTATATCTGGTCTCCCCGGACCCTGCATTCACTATATCTGGTCTCCTCAGACCCTTCATTCACTATATTTGGTCTCTCCGGACCCTGCATCCACTATATCTGGTCTCCCCGGACCCTGCCTTCACTATATCTGGTCTCCCACAGTACACCCAACACGGAAATGCAATTATGTTAGTAAATATAAACTGCTAAATACCTTTTCTCATCAGCAGTATATAGCAGTCTTGTGACTTCTATCAGTATCCGGCCAAGCAATAGCTAAAGCTTGTAGGAGGCGTTTTCTTTCTGCTCTAGGAGGATACAAATCCCCTGATCTCTGTCTGGCCAGTGCTTATTGGCCCTGTGCTGATCACATGCACTCTCCCAAGAAAAAAAAAAAAAAACCTCTCTAGCAATACACACCAAACTAAGCATGTGAATGCCTACGGTTCAGTCTGGCGATAAAAGGCTGTTGCTTGAAAAAGGGGAGGAACAGAGAAAAAGGGATCAAACATCCTTTTTACACAATGCAGATGATTATCCCCTTAGGTTCCACAGTGAGTATAACAAGCAAGCTTTACTGCATATACAGACTGATTTTACTGTTGTGGGTTTAGTAACACTTTAAGATCGCATGCTTATTTTCATGTTTATTTTGCATTTTATATTTTTTGTTACAATTGTGTAGTTGAACCAGAAAGACCTTCTTGTAGTCAAACTGCTCCCATTTTTCTCCCCCTACAGACATGGTTGGTAAACCTACAATCACAATTTCTTCCTCGCTTCCTAAAGAAAATGCTCCAGTCACCCTTACCTGTACCTCTACTAATGCAGAGAGAATATTATGGAGCAGGGTCCCCTCTGGAGCCACTCTGTCGCCAGATAACAGGACCGTCTCCTTCTCCAGGATTTACCGTGTGGACTCAGGATGTTATAGATGCCAGGCTAGTAACCCTGTCAGTATGGAGAACAGTGATCCCGTCACAATGACCGTGGCGTGTAAGTAGCCGGGACTATCATGCTAACAGTAAAATAAAAAGTATCCTGCCTGTAATCAAGCTTAGGCTTATGATTTCTGATTCAGACCTATACTTATAGGGGAATGTTGAACCAAACACCCTTTTGGGTTTTTACTGCTATTCACGGCTCTATTTTGGAGATTTACCCTCCCACGTGCCCCTGTTACCAATCCCCTCCACCACCACCACCACCCTTCATGTCTGGTGAAACCACTGTCAGCAGGACATGACTGTTGGACTTGCAGAATACCGAGGCTAATACTTACCCCTAATCCATAAAACCACCACCACCCTTCAAAACCTTCCCCACCCAAATGACCACGCGACTCTCTTTCTGGTATAAAAAAAACGGCCATTTACCTGACAGTAAGATCCCAACCGGGTCCAAAGGTCTTCGAAGGCACCATTACTCCCATCACAAACTCGGCTGTATCTGACACCCAATGAAAGGCCCCCAGCCGCTACTACACCGCCTCGGGGACAATACTACAGCTACGTAGTCCCAGATACAGCCAATGAACTCCCACATTACCAACATGACCTTATAATTGGGAAGGAACACCCATACCTACGATGGACCCAACCCATAATTCACCAAATTGTCACTCCAACACCGCCTTCAAAGACCCATGGACCCCTGCCGGCTGCCATGACAAAAATAAACAAACAAACACCTCGGGACATAAACAGCTGTCCTGAACAATGAACAAACTCAATGAACCCACACAAAACAAACACCACGAACAAACCAAACCAAACAGCAAAACCAACACCAGGACAAACACAAAGGACAAACCATGACCAGCACATCAAACAAAATACAAAACAGCTCCAGGGAGGGAGGGCGGGAGAAACCACCCCCTTGATGGCACAAGCTCTGACTGAACTCCGACAAGACCCAACCCCCCTTTTCAAATCCTAGCAAGACCACCCTTCAATGCTGCGTACTCCAATCAAGTAAGTAACCACCCCACCTTTTCCTCTTGCATAGACTCCCACCCAAAATACACGCTCCGCCTCGTCTGCATGCCCCAGTCTTGCTGGCCCTCCCTTTTAGCTTCGCTCAGTCCAGGCCTTGACTGGAAATCTCCCCAAGGCTCCATTCAATGCGACTTAGAACACATAAAATTGCATGACAAGTTGCAGCCCATGTACTTCAATGATAGTCGTTCAAACCTATGCGACTTAAAGTCACAGCGACTTTCCAAAGTTTCCTGCACTACTTTGATGCAACTTGAGTGCCAGAGACTGCAACGTAAACTCTCAAAAGTCACATCCTAATGTTATCAATGTGACAATTGAGCAACAGCCAAAGTCAAAGTCGCATCCAAGTTGCACCCATCCAAAGATGAATCAAAACCACAATGTAAAGTCGCAATGGAAGTCACATGACTTTGGAGTCGCACAAATGAGAATGGAGCCTAAGGCCTCAGACTTGAAGTGATCAACAAGCAGGCAGACCATTCCACTCCCAAATAAAGCTGAGCTTCAGACACCAAAGAAAATGTTGTCAATATAATGAGCTGTAGCCAAAGGACAGAAATCCACTTTCTGCATTTGTAAAAGGAGCAGTGACATCATCAGTAGGCTGTACATAGGTTATGCAGAGAACATAGGTTATGCAGGCTCCACACACTACAGGCTGCCTGCAGAAAAAAAAAAAGAGGGGGGTGGAGACATGACCAGTCACCCTGCTCAAGGAGAGAGAAGTGTAGTGACCAGTCTTTATTATACAAATTCCTGCGCAGAGGCATATTATGGGAGGTGCTTTATGCACGATTTCTGCACAGTTCTGGTAGAGATTTAACAGAATTGGTAATGAGCCAAAAGATCAGACAGTAACTGTAAATTGCAGGTTACTAAACAGGTGCAAAGTTAGGCAGCTTTCACACTGAGGCTACTGAACAGACTAGAATAGAACAGAATAGAATATAAAATTATAGAATAGAATAAAAAGTTATAGAAAAGTATAGAATACAAGATAATAGAATAGAATAAGCTAGAAAAGGATAGAATAGAATGAAATGGAATAGAAAAAATAGAAAAGATTTTATTAGAATAGAATAAAATAGAATGAATCTAGTCGTCTTTTGAAATTAAAATTTCAGAAGTCGGCTATATTCGTTCTATTATTTTCTTTTTTATTATATTCTGTTTTGTTCTATTCTTTATTTTATTCTATTCTATAATGCAGCCTAAGTCTTTTTCCTATTTTTCTTTTTTATACCTTACTTTACTTACTGCAGTATGTTTCCATTTCAAATTTGAATTCTGATCATTTCAAATTGTTTTGAAAACAACCAACATACAAAAGAATCCGAATATAGGAAAACAACTCCAAAAATGAAACATTTAAACATAACGAATATGATGAAACATTAAGTTATTAATTAACAAACGGATCCGAAACAAAACACATTTTATGGTTGTGCACATCTCTAGTGCATGTTTAAAACCTGACCTCCCTGCTGAATTGCATCAAAATGCTTCCATCAAAATCGCATCCACCCACAATACCGGAAATGCAGCATAAACAGTGCATTTTTACAGCATTTTGCAATGTAGCAATGTGAAAGGAGCCTTAGGAGCAATAATGGAAATGCTCCATTGGGGTTCAGAGGTGGCATTAGGGGTCCAATAGACCCATGATGTCTCCTTATTGTAAAACAATAGGCAAAAAATATAACCAATTCCTGCAGCGTTCACACACAAATCCTTTGTGCAAAAAGGAACATAAAGTAATAAATAACATGTATAACAATAAAACAAGACACTCACTCTATATTGCCATTGCCAGCTGCTGTTGCTTCAATGTGCGTAATGACAGGTACCACAGGAGAGGAGCACTGTTCGAATTGACACAAACAGGCTGGGCCCTGGCCACTGGCAACCAGCATGCATGCAATAGTGCTGTTTTTGGAGGATCTAGGCTGTCTCCTACCTGGCAGCCCCACAGATCTTTTAACCATTTGTTGCACTCCTATTTGTGCTTGAGTTATCTATTGTAAAGGCAAAATTAATTTTTTAGTCTTGGATAGAGTGGAGATGGATTAGAAGCCCTGTCAGGTTTTTATTGCATTCTGTGCCCCTGTTAGGGTGACACACCCTCTATTTGTCCTGTTTATTGTTACCACTGAGAGTAAACTTACGAGAGTAAAATTACAGAGAGTGATATCACTGGGAGTAAATTCACTGAGAGTGATCTCACAGGGAGTGATCTCACAGGGAGTGAAATCACCAGGAGTGAAATCATTGGGAGTGAAATCACTGGGAGTGAAATCATTAAGAGTAAAATCATTGGAAGTGAAATCACTGGGAGTGAAATCATTAAAAGTAAAATCATTGGGAGTGAAATCACTGGGACTGAAATCATTAAGAGTAAAATCACTAGGAGTGAAATCACCGAGAGTGGAATCACTGGGAGCGAAATCACCGAGAGTGGTGGGAGCGAATCACGAGAGTGGGGAGCAAAATCACCGAGAGAAATCATTAAGAGTAAAATCACTGGGAGTGAAATAACCAAGAGTGATATCATTAAGAGTAAAATCATTAGGAGTGAAATCACCGAGAGTGGAATCATTAAGAGTAAAATCGCTGGGAATGAAATCACCAAGAGTGATATCATTAAGAGTAAAACAACTGGGAGTGAAATCACCGAGAGTGATATCATTAAGAGTAAAATCACAGGGAGTGAAATCACCGGGAGTGAAATCACCGAGAGTGAAATCACAAAGAGCGAAAGAAAATCCAACATTTTACCCCTAGTTCACGTATATGCGGCCATGTGGTCCGCGTTTTGTGCGGGCACAAGAGCCCATTCATTTGAATGGACTCCCATGCCCTGTGACACTCAGGGTAGAAGTCCCTGCACTTCTTCTGAAAATGCAGCCCGCACGGGAACTAATGGCACCCGCCAGCGGGTCTGCATTCCTCTGTGCGGGTGATGTGGCTGCACGGATTTTCGTGCGGATCCTCAGCCGCACCACCCGCACATATGTGAACCTAGCCTGAGGGTTGTCACCAGAATAGTGATGGAGAGGAAATCATTCAAATATCTTCGTATCGCTTAGTCAATTTTTTTTCTCTTTAGCCTTTTATTCTGATGTTGAATTTTTTTTGTTATTGCAGATGGCCCAGAAAACGTGAAAGTAAAATCCACGTCACCTTCAAATTCTCTCATTTTATTAGAATGTT